CTCCTCCATCACTGCCCATTCTGGCCAATGGCATGCCACTGTATGGGTAGAGCAGGGGTAAGCAACCCAAAACACTCAAAGAGCCACTTGGACCCGTTTCCCACTGAAAACAAAACACTGGGAGCCACAAAACCCTTTTGACATCTAAAATGAAGATAACACTGCATATATCCTCTCCCTCTTTCTGCCCTTAGTCTGCCAGTCCTCTTCCCCCACTCAGTGTGTGTCTGTCTGTGTGTGTGTGTGTGTGTGTGTATGAGAGGGAGAGAGGCACTTGCGCTTCCTCTCTCTTTTTCTCTTTCCCCTCTCCCTCTCTCTCTTTCCCTCCCTCTTTCTCCAGGTGAAGAGACACACAGAGAGAGAACAAAAGGCAGAGGGTGCCGAAGGGGCAGGGAGGGGGGGCAGGAGGCAGCAGAAGACCCCCTGTTGCCGTTGGAAGCACCCAGCTCCGCTGTCTGCCGGGCCTGCAGGGATGCCCCGGCTCACGGTCACATTGGCAGGCCATCTCACATGCCGCTGGTATCCCTGGGCTCAACTCGGGGCCACGGGGCATCAGCGGAATGTCCCACCCATCAACTGCATTGCCAAGCCTCCCCTTGCGCTGCCAGTATCCCCGGGCTTAAGTCATGGGGCATCCATGGAACGCCCACCGTCAACTGTGTTGCCAAACATCCCGCACCGCTGGTGTCCTCGGTTGGAACCGGGGCAACGATCTGCCTCCCACCAGGACCAATGCTGGAGCCTCCTGTGCTGCCGGTAGGTCCGTTATGCTGAAGGAGCTGGAGCCGCTCAGCACATGGCGCTCCCGGCAATTCATGACCCACCAGCGTCGCCCAGGGAGCGATGCCCCCACCGGCCACTGCCCCAGCTGGGACTGCCACCCGGGGGGCAGCAGAACGAAGGGGAGGAGGAGGAAGGCAAGGAAGCCAGTGCCAGCCCCAGGAGGAGGTGCTCCCACAGGTCCGGCCAGGGCTCTTCTGCTGCTGGTTGGAAAATGCCTCCCCCTCCCTTTCTTTCTCCATCTCCTGCTCACCTCACATTCTTCGCCGACAAAGCAGCCCCGGGACTCCGGCGCACCTTCCCGGCCAGCTGGACCAACAGTCCCATGGCTGGGGATCGCAGGGACTGCTCTCCCTCTGGGCCGTGGCTTGCGGAAAGGCTGGCTCACTCAGCTGAGGCTCTGGCAGGCTGCTCCCAGTGGGGATCCCGGGGCTTCCCTGAGTGGTTCCCAGCCATGTGCACCTCAGATGGGGTCAGCCAGGGAAAGGGACTTCCTGGCCGCGCTTCTCCCAGGGGGTGGGGTACCCAGGCACAGGGCCAATCAGGAGTCCTGCAAGGGGGCAAATCCACATGACAGAGAGAGAGAGAGAGAGAGAGAGAAGCAAAGTGCCTCTCTCTGTCTTCATCTCTCTCCACAAATGGCGGAGGTTTCCCATCTTTTCCCCTCCCTTGAGAATTTAATGGTTAAAATGCAGCCTCTCATCCTCCCAGCTGCTTCCATTCTCTTCCCCCCCCCTTTGCTGATGTTTATGTTCCAGCTGTGTGTGTCTATTTCACTAGCCTTAGGAATAACCTTTGAACATGGCTATCCAGTAGCCTATTCCTACCACGTCATCCCAATGCCTCTCTTCTTTACCACACTGCTGCTGCAAATGTACATCATGGTCAGTCCCCTTATTTGGGGCTCTTAACATCCTTTGAACCATTTCTACCTTGGAACAGCTGTATTTCATTTAACAACCCAGGTTAAAATGTCTTTCTTCCCAGCAGACCAAAATTTCAATATAAAGCTATCCCGAAGCCAGCTGTTCTGTGCATAAACCCACTTTGCATACCCATAATTTAAGTTTGAGGGACTTTCATTGCCCCTTAACCATAATTGCTGCTCTTGAGTTGTGGTTTCTTAAAGAAACGACATACGTTCCTCAATATCATGATAGAATAACCCAAGATACCAGTTTTAAAAATTAGACCTGTAACAATTAAAGAGTTATTTTAAAGAAAAATGAAAAGGCAAATTTCAATGCATGCAATTTATTTATTTGTGTCAACATAGAGATTTTATTTTTCTTCTTAAGAGTTGCTTTATCTTCGATCGGTTGAGCCAGCTTTTCTCTTCCCACAAAACAAGTGTTTGGGCTTCAGGTCAAAGACAGTTCTATCCGCCTCGCCTTTCTTGCCTAACTGATTCATCTTCTTTTGAGCCTTCTTCATCATGGTTTTAGCCTTCTTCACCATCTATAAAAATAACATATGCAAGTATCCCATACATTATGAATTTAAATATTACATAACCACAAATTGTTCTCCACATAGCTCCCACCCAACTACAACTACAAAAGCCCAACACATAGAAATAGCCAGCTTTGAAACAATACTAAGAACATGCACATCATAGATAACCTGGCTGATTAACTTTCTACATAATTCACTAAAGATTTTTTTTTAAAGGAACAACAATCTCAAAATAGAAAGTAATTGGATATTTCAATACTAAACATTCATTAAAATGTTACAAAAGTGACTGCATAAATTCATCAGTTTATGTAGTATTTGCTGTAACAAATTCTAATTGCTAATTAGACTGTAGCACAAAACAGGCACATGCAATAGTCTGGAATAAACAGGGATAATTTAATAAAACCAAGGCATACCTTCGCGTCACGAAGGCCAGAAACATCACGAGGGGTACGAGACCTGCTGCGGCTTAGAGGCATAGAGGATGGTGGTTCAGAATCTTCTCGCTTACGTTTGCGGGTAACACTGCGTGATCTCCTTTCCTGGGCTAAATAATGTACCTGAATATTTGCAGATAAAGAATCTAATCAGAGTCCTTAATAAGTTAATCAGATGCCCTAGTGCAACCTGGTGTTCCATTAACAAATTCTTATAGCAGCTGAGAACCTACAAAGAATAGTAAACTCCTCTGCTATCCATTAAACACTCCACATTTCTAATGAACAGAAGAAAACTCTTGGGTGTTTTAACAATGGCCAGCAGAGCATAAATGAAAAATGTTCTTCCTGCCATTTATGAGAGAAAGCCGCCAACTACAGTCCATCTTCAACAGATAGACCCGCTATTTTAAAACCAATGTTGATCTAATGGTTCAGGCACCAGGCTAGAAACCAGGAAACAAGAGTTCTAGTCCCACCTTAAGCTTTGGGCCAATTATTCTCAGCCCACCCCACTTCAAAAAATAGGAAGATATGTTGCCAAATGCAAGTCAACTCCATTTTTTATTATAGGTGCACCAATGATCTAGAAGGGAGAAAAATAAGCAAAAAAAAAAAAAAAAGCACATCTTACCTCAGTTCTGTTTGTGACATCAAGTCCCAGATTTGTCATCTCCTGCTCAAGGGTCTTCTGTTGAATCTAAAGTCAGAAGGAAAGTATTATCAGAGGTTATTTTATCCATGCCCAAAGCCAGTGGGCCCAGAGAGCTAACACAAGCCCCACTGGCCTTTAAGCACACAATGAGTAATACTCAGTTCCTTCTCAGGAATTTTCCCCAGGTCTACTACTACAAGTTGTAAGCCCCAAAACTAAAAAACATTGTCTCT